TCATGAATACTAGCTACTCTCTTAGGATTTACCCTTTCAGAGGGCCATTGAAAATTATTAGTAGTCATTTCTTCAATTAAAGAATATGCTTCATCAAAAGGTTTTGACATTAATGAACCACCCACAACAGCATCTATAATAGATTTAAGTGATCCTACTAATCCATTGCAAAATGTTTGAATTATTAACCAATCTGGTAAAGCATGGTGTGGACACTTTTCAAGAAGACCTTTAAATCTTTCTCAGGCTTCATATATCGATTCCCCTTCAAACTGACAAAAAGATGTAATATCATTTCTAAGCTTAGCGGTTTTAGAGGGTGGAAAATATTTAGCCAAGAATTTTTGTGATAGTTCTCTCCAAGTTCTAATAGATCCAAGTGCTAATGAATTTAACCAAGCCTTGGCTTTATCCTTTAATGAAAAAGGAAAAAGTGTAAGCCTAACACCATCATTAGACACTTCCTCATATTTAAATGTAGCACAAATCTCAAGAAAACTAGTAAGATGTAAGTTAGGATCTTCAGTAGGTGATCCTCCAAACTGATTATTTTGTACCATTTGGATAGTAGCAGGTTTAGCTCAAATGAATTAGTAACAACATCAGGATTTTGAATAGTCAAGTGAAGTTCATCTGTTGTCGAATTCGCATAATCTTTTAAAGGTCTTTATCGATTCTCATTTGTTGGATTTTCTAAGTTTTTTGTCATTTCTTTTAAATTTTTAATTTCTCTTTGTTGTTTTCGAATTTTTCTAATAGTACGTTCTAACTCTAAATCGTAAGGTACTAAGCCTTCAGATCCAATATTTCACATAAACAAATAAAGTAAGCAAAGTAAAATTCTTTTTGGATTTTTGATTTTTTTATATATTTTTTATATATTTTTATAGTATATATATTGTCTCTAACTTTCCTAATTTATCAAATTATTTAATTTACCTAAATTTAACCGTTACCTTCCCCGGCAACGGTACCAAAAACTTGATCCCGATTTTTTATATATAAGGATTTATGAAGTTGACACCACTACAATGCCAAAAACTTGATCCTTTTATGAAAAGTAAGTTGTTTAAAATATATATAATTATAGACAATTAATAATGAGATTCTACGCAAGTATATGTACATTATCAAGTAATAAAGGTCTTTCTATTTAAGCCCCAAATATCGATCCCACATGGAAGGTGTAAATTAGCAATTATAAGTTTTATTAGGAAATTTACAGAAAATCAAACGAAATCACTGTCACTAATTTCAAATGTTGAGATGTTATCAAAACTAAAGTACTTAACTATTAGCAAAATAGAAATGCAAGTTTAAAAAGTAAATACTAATCTACTAACTATGTTTATGTAATGAAGATTTCTTATGTGAAAAAACATCATTCCCACTACAATGAGGTTCTGGTGAAATGAGATGAGGTAAATGTTTAGAATATGTATTGTGCCAAATAAGAGCAATTATAATTCTCTACCTTGATATAGTGCATATAAAATCATTGGCTAATCATAGGTTTAGTCCCTAAATCCGTGGCTAGGCTAGGAAGATACCGGCTCCCACTCCAGAGCTCCCACTTCCCTTCACATGAAGGCTAACTCTTGCTTTAAACACTAAGACCGAATTGAGGATTTTAGTCTGTCACCCTAAAGATTCTCCAGTTCTACACCCAACAAAGAATATTTCCTTATTTATTTGCACTTAATTTCATGAATGAATTTCTCCTCCGTGAAATCAAATGTGATCATCACTCTGTTGTAGAACTCATACTTCATTTCCCGGATCATATGTTTCACAACATATTTTAACAATTCAATTGGCCATATCGAAATGTAAATTAAGTTTGGAGTTGAAAAATCGTCACAATTTATTTTATATTTTAATATTGACACATCATATTATCTCTTCATTTCACTATATCTCAGAGTAGGGAGAAAGATAGAGTGAACTACTCAGACTTCATGAGAAAGACACAACAAAACACAAATTACATATATAAAAGAAAGTTCATACAACACTTAATAAACAAACAAAACTTATCTGAAACACTTTCTCAAAACAAATCCCTTGAACCCTTTCTTATAAATGCAGGAAGAAGATATCTCTCACTTTTCTCCTTCTCCAACACTTTTACTGAAAGTTTCACACTAAATCTCACCACACAAACTCTAAATTATAAACTCAAATCTCACCACACAAACTCTAAATTATAAAAGAAAAATCACTAATGAAATTCAATATGGTGGTGGAAGGAAGATGAATTATGAAGAATGCGAACATGGAGCGTGGAGGAATGTCTTGGAGCGAAAAGGAGTCACTTTCCTGATGAATTTCGGCCCCATATAAAGCCCAATGTCGGTTTTCTAAGAGGTGCCTCCAAAAACTCTTGAAAAATCGTCCAAATACATCGAACCTTCTAAAAAC